ACAATGAGTGTTGCCTGATGCTTCATCAGATTTGCTCTGTGGTTAATACAATAGTACAGAAAATGTATGTATTTTGGATCTACTGTAGTATTGTAATATTGAAAAATATATCAAATGAAATGCATTTTTTGCACTCTGCTATGAATTGCATCTCATTGTCTTTTATAAAAGAATATTTATATTTATTCTTGAATGGTAGAATTACATTTGCTATTGCCTATTGTACTGTATCGGAATGTGAACCTGTTGGATTTGCTGCTAATCAGCACCTGATTATTTAAATACACACCTGATGGCAATTAAACACAGAGTGACTCTTTTTGCTTTATCTGTTATGTAATAAAACAGTTTCAATCCCAATATCCTGGTATGTGCTAGAATATTTTTTTGTTTGGTTTAGAAAAAATATACATATAGAGGCCACGTTTTACTACACAAAACACTGAAACTGCTATTGCATGTGCACAAATCTATATCATTTTATACATTGATGGCAATAGGCTGCCAAGTCCACCCAGTGCAGGAATAACCTATTCAGTCAACCCGACATAAGTTCTAAGTAGTTCTCGACATAATCATAGCTAATACCTTCTGCCATAAAGGCATATTAGGGCTAGTTAAAAACAAAGCAAATATTAGAGTAAAGGTCCAAGGGTAAGGCATCAACATGGTTAACTGAGAATGTAACAGAGCAAATAGCTAATGAGTCTCAGAATATTTAAGAAAGGTTTTGATAACTAGCTAACTAACTGTTTAGAGGAGAACTAACCTAGTTATGTGCATTATTCTCCAGTGCATCTTCTTCTGGTTGAACATAAACAGCAACAACAAGATTTTTATCATCTTTACATAAAAAGAAACAGTGTCCATTATCCTTCTGGCGGGTTGGTTGTCTCAACCGTATACCATTTGTGCCTCTTTGTTGTTTTTTGCCTTTCTGTGTGGTCATTTTATATCTCTGTCATTGGTTTGTGTACTTTTGGACAACAAATGTTGACAGTCACTTCAAGCAGAGGTTCAGGCCTACAGTAAGCCCTCCCTTCTCTGTGCCTGCGCCCAGTAGCCCGTTCAGCAATCCACCCATGCCCTTAGTAGTAAGTACATGTCTGTCCTGCCAACGAGACTATTGCTTACCTTCTGAAAAACCTCTGTTTGTTGTCCAACAGCCAGGAGCCTCGTCTCTCTTTCTCTCTCCTTTGATCTCTCTCTTTAATATCGAGTCTTTCTGTGCTGGACCTAAGGCCGGGCTGGGACTTCTTCTCTCTCCCTTCCTCCCTCTTGGAACTGGATCTTTATCCTCCAGGGGTTTTAGTCTCATCTCTCTGTCTTGTCTCTTCTTCCCCTTTGTAAGTGATGTGTTTGAGCTTTGACTCTTAATGCAGTTTGTCTTCTTTCCAGGCCTTGGTGGTGGAGAGCAGATTGTGTGGCTCAGATCCTATCTGTTTGTCAGTACCTAGAAGTTTCTCAACATCTTCCCAAATCCATATACAAATTAATCCGTCATTCTGAATTTCTATATTGATATTTTACTATTATTATTTTAGCCTATTCTGCACACATGACATTTATTGCATGCCTGTTCATCCTGGAAGAAGAATCCCTCGTCTGTCTCTTCCTGAGGTTTCATCCTTGTGTATCAGTGACACTGACAATAAAAACACATAATCATACATTACTGTTAATTCTCTCCATAAGCGTAGATGTTTATTGCACCTGTGGCAGCAGGGAGTGGCTGTTTGAAGGTGGACAAAGAGGATGACGATGAAGATGCAGCCTCTGTCCAGTCAGGCTGGTTATAAGGAATTTTGTTCAGGAATCAGGAAATGGCGTTTTTTACATCATGTCTAGTTTCAGAGACAAGATGCGTGCCATCGCTATTGTCTGTTGTTTGCCATCGATTTACATACCAGTACCACAGTCATCGGGTTCAACACACCCTGTGGCCGCTTTATGGCTCATGGCTGCCTCTATGCATTGTATGTACAAAGACAGCATTCAAGATATGATTTATTTAACACTAAAGTTATTATCAATCTCCAAATGTGTGATCACAGCCTCTGTGTTTAACATGTATAAGTTAAAGTTTGGGACACATTGAGGCTTTAATGCTATTTATTCATTGCCATGCTTTAAGCGTTACAATTTATGCCAGCATTGTGAGCTTATTTATGAATATAATTGAATCAGATACAAATCATTCGAACATTGTCTCTCTAACTTCTGATTTCAGTGCACGCTGAGGTTTCTGCACTGGATGTGTCTGTTACCCAATCGCTCTATCCCCAGGGCTTTATGGGGCCGGTTTAGCCGGTTATGTGGGATTTCAGCAGAACAGGAATATCAAGGGAGAACTTGCCCAGGCCTCTGTGTTTGTGTTCCTCAAGGGGACAACCGCTCCAACCGGTTTTCTAGGGTGGAGAGATGAGAGAAGGGAGGGTGTGGGGCGTTCTCCCTCACCTCATTCTCCTCTCTCTTTCTCTCTTCGTTATTGCGCATTTTCTTCCTCTGTCTCAGTATCACTCCGTCCATCTCTGAAGTCTGAACGAGCAAAAGCTGTGCCCAGCAGCGAACGGCTGAAGGAGTCCTCGGCTGTATGAGGTGAGTTACCACTGACTGAGCTCTAAGGTGTTGCCCGAGGGCTGGAATAGGTTGGCTGACAGGTGGGTAGAGTAGGTGCAGGTATGTGCGGCTGGGAGGATTGAGCTGGCATACATGATCGTGGCCTTATCAGGCCTTTCAGTGAGTGTGTGTGGGTGTGAGCTTGTGTGGGATTTTTTTTTTTAGATTGCCACACTTTGTTCACATAATGTTATTATAAAACGTAAGCAGGCATACATTTGCGATATAGCAGCAAGTCTATATAGATAGATATAAAGCTGCTTGTCAATAATACGATACATGGAGGCCTTTAATTAAGCAAACACAATGTGCAATACAGCAACTGTTTTACATGAGCTCAGGGTTCATATTGAGGACATTAGACATAAAAGATGTATATGTGTAGCTTGTGTGTGTATGTAGGTGTGTGTGTGTGTAGGTGTGTGTGTGTAGGTGTGTGTGTATGTAGGTGTGTGTGTGTAGGGTGGAGTCCATATACAAGTGTAACAGACTAAAGTTTTATATTAAAATGTCATTAATCGTTATTTGCATAAAAGCCATGTTCTCTCATTATGCCTGTTTCTGTGCTTGTCACAGTTATAATAAAGGAGTGACATTAATGGTCATTCCTGTCACATTGTTAGTCAGATGAGAAGCCACACGAGTATTGAAAGCAAAGCAGCACTGACAATAGCTCCCAGTGGCATTTTTTTAGAACCCGGCTGCTCCGTTTGATCGGAGCAGCATCAGCTGATATTGTGTGAAGAGGTGAATGAGGCCTGGATTCCAAAACATCCTCTCACAACTTAAGTCGGGTTTCAATCGAACAACAAACATCTGAGCTGATGGGAGGTGTTTGAGAACATTTACGGCAGTGAGGTTGTTATCTGCACAGCCTCTCTATACGTGTGTGGCATCCAGGACTACATATTTGCAGAGAATGTGGTAATGCCTCAGTCAAGAGTGGGAGAAGTATGATGCAGTGGTGTCAGAATAATAGTTAGACACAGTGACAAGTGTGCATGTGAGTGTGTGTGAATAATGATCTAGAGACAGCAGAGCAGACACATAAAGGCAGACAGGTCTTTTCTTGCTCTGCTGAGGTGATCTGAACAGCCACTTGCCTGACATATCCCGACATGTCGAGGGAGCCTGATCCACACTGATCAAAATGCTAAATAGTACTCATTGCATGTGTTTGTGCACATACAGAGCCATTGTGTGTGTGTGTGTTTGCGACAGAGAGCAAAGGAAACACATATTAAGGATTCCAGTTTGCACTGAGACTTTCAATAAAGTATACACTATGTTCATTTGTAAGAACTGATGCACTGTTTCAGATTGACACCATGCGATGTGCACACACACATGCGCAAACTGTAAAAGCTGTGCTTAATGCACATGAAACAAACTGCAGACGGAGGTCTCACCAGACAGGACCAGTCTAACTAGTTTCAATCATCGTTGCTATAACAACGAAATTTGCTCCCACATTTGTGTACGGCTTGTGAAAGTATAGTGCCAGCAAAATGTGCAGTGCTGTACCTCTACATGCACGACGCAGACCTCAGGCCATAACGCCCAACTCTGACTAATTTATTGTGGTTCCACTCCATTAGTACTTTGATGTTGAAATAGGGGGGGTGAAGGGTCGTATTGAGTCAAGACATCAATAATTGGCCTATTTAAAATGGTGGAATAAATGGTTGAAATATGTGGATCACAGTTAAAAAATATTGAAGGATTTGGGCTTGAGGAGGAGTCCCCTTATGTGTGTAGGTATGTGCAGATGCATACTGTATATGTATGTTATATATGCACCATCATATTAGACTGATTAACTTTTTCATTAGTTTCCTTTTTCTATTTTACTATTATTATTGTTGTTCTTATATACACTGGTGAACTCAAGGGAAGGCAGTCCCCAGGTTTGAAAAAATTATGCGAAAGTGCCCTCTTGGATGCCCCTACGGTAGATAAAACATGATAAAGTACCCTCTAAGGTGCTAATCTTTACCCTGACTAAGCTGTTTCACCATAAATGCATCACAACTTTCAGCATAGTGCTCTTTATATTATTTTTGGCCCTGAATCCGCCATTAAATCCGCCACTGTTTATATATATTAATTTAGCTTGCTATCATTTTATCTCACTATAAAATATATAAATATTGTAAGAATGCTATAATTATTAACAACATCATATGTAAGCAAATGTAAAATGATGTACACTCTTGCACTCTTGTAATAATGTATTTAGAAAAAGGGTCATAATGTCAAATCCAGGAAGTCTAATACATTTAAAAAGAAAATTCAGTTTAAAGGCATGCAATACTTTTTAATTCTATCAAAAATATATAAAACACATTATATCTTTCTTTTGCTGTAGAGTCTGACTCAGGGTCAAATTAGATTACCATGGCAATGGAGTGCTTCAACAGCCTTCTCCTGAAACTGCGGGAGGTCCACGAGCGGGAAGTAGAGGGTGAGTGGAAATCATGAGAGCAGCAGCCACTGGTGACACACAACGAAGAGAGAGAAGTTGTAATGCAGCTGAAATACAATCTCATACTCTTCTTAACCAGGTGTGTTGTGTTTTTGATTTACAGGGTGGCAGGCGAAAATCCAAGAGCTGTCCAACAAGAAGGGCTGGTTAGTGGGTTCTTCATTTCAGCGAGGTCTCTGGGTGATCATGTTTAGACAACGCTTTAGACAAGTTGTTCAAGTTTAATGGTACACAAGATCAGCCCTTTGGGAGCTGCGCTCAGGCTCTTTGTGTGTCCCAGGTAGGCAGGCATGCTGGTCCTGCACCTGGCCCTGTGTTGGTCCATATCGTGTTTAGCTTGTAAGGAGTCTCATGTTGTAACAAGTCATTCAGTCTACCACTGAGTCACAAAATCTCTGTTTCGTTTCTCCTTAGAAGCAGTGAAAAAAAAAAATCTGGCAAAGTGGGATCATTTTAGATTCTTGATACAAATGGAAGCTTATTCAATTAATTGACTCTTTCAGTTCAAAACATCTCATTACCATCAAAACATTGTTCCACTTATTCTCAGTACTTCATTATTAACTGAAGTACTGCATTTAAGTGCAATCTTAAGGTACTTGAACATTGAGTAAATTACCCATTCCATTTAGTTAATTGAACTTAAAAGTATAAATAATTGTATCAAAGTCATATGCAGCACTTATGAACTTATTTAAATGTATCTGAATAAAGATATTTACTTTATACAAATGTTACTGCTTAAGTTGAGTTTCTTTAGTTCCACTAAACCAAATTATTACATTACTTGTCAGCTGACGTAAGATAACTTAACAACTTAAAATGAATCGATTATCAAAATAGTAGCAAATTAATTTTCTGTGGACCATCTATTCTAATTGTCACTGCTGTAATGCTGTAGCCTACGTTATATGAGTAACATCAAATCTTTGCATAATGATCTGAAATCTGAAGCATTATAGCACAAATTTAGTTAGTAGAACAAACTGGAAATATATCACCAATACTTGCAATACTGCACAAATCTAAGTTCAAGTAGTTATTACTACAGCAGTTCATTTTTGAGTTAGATTCAATTCATTCATTGAGTGACTCCACATTGTTTGGAAGATTAAGTTATATTAACTTAATTTATTAAAATATGCTGTTTTTTCAGTGTATTTGAAGCTGCTTCACCACAACATTAAAGTACAGCTTCAATCCATAATATTGATCCAATAATGTAGTGATATAACATTGTCTGGGGCCATTCCACATAATGAGTTAGTTTTCGCATTCCTCCTATTTGATACTTAAAGTACATTTTGTTAATAATACTTTTACTTAGAAGTAGAATGCAGTCATGAGTTTTATTGTATGTTCTTTACCTCTTACAGCATTGAAAAAGAAGTAGAGTAATAGAAAGAAATGCAGCAACAGCCTTGAAACTAAAGGGAAATAGAATATGTTAAGTAGCCTGTTGTAGTGTTAGTATTTCAGTCTGATTCTTCAACCATAATGCTTGTTGTTTTGGAATAAATGTTCCAGAGAATATGTATTAGTCTGTGTCTCACTGATCACAGAACGATTAACATACATCTGATCGGCATAAAGTTTTCATAGTAGACTAATTCCTTTTTCGTGTGTCCCATTGTGTGTGTGTGCATGCATGTAAACAGTGACACAAAGCGAATGGAGGAATTGTTCAGCAAAAACCAGCAGATGAAAGAACAGCAGAGATTACTTACAGAGAACATCAAGACACTGGAGAACAGGTACTGATGTTAAATTCCACTTCTGTTTGAGTGTGTATACAGTACACCATATGGAAATCAAGGCCTCCTCATGAAAATGACATTTGGCATCACCAAATAATCAGGTTATCTACAGAGGGAGTCCGCCATGTTGAAACGCCATGTTTCTACAGTAGCCCAGAACGGACAGCACAAAGAATAATCTTTTTCAAGAATTTTGCAACCACCATAGTTTCTCCCACACACTTGGAATGGGAGGGTGAGGCAGCTCTTGCCACTAAATCATACACTTAAAGCAGCTATAATCTTTTCTTTATTATAAACTTAGGAAAAGAGCTGTGGAACTATTGCTGAACCAGATTCACTGTGGCCACGATGATGGTAAATAATACTTTAACAAGGTACAAGTAGAAAAGAGTCATCAAGTCAGCAACCTGACTCAGCAATGTCTAAAAGTCAGACCAAGTAAAGCTGTGGCAGTAAAATCTCTGATTGTACTGAACTGAGCAATGGTGCATTTTATTGCTTATAAATTAAACTTCAAACTCTGCACATACACCATTCTGCACATCACACTGTAGGAACAAGAGAATCTGATTTGTGACTGGAGGTTGACTTTAAGATTAGTGTTTCTGATGTTGTGTGGTTTTCTGCTGCTTGTCCCAGGCTGCGGGCGGGGCTGTGTGACAGATGTACAGTGACTCAAGAGGTAGCCAAGAGAAGACAGCAGGAATTTGAAGCCTCACAAATACAGAGCATCCAGCACATGTCTATACTAGGTATTCTGTTTATGTGTGTTCTTCTAATCAATGACCCAACGATCCCTCTGTTTGTCCTCCATCACTTGTCTCTTGTATCACATCTCTTATCAGTCTTGCATCCCTACCTAAACATTTACTTTTCTTTTCCTTCTGGCATTTGGTTGTGGCTTCCCAGAACTTTCTTTAAACTACTTATCCATGTTTTAAAAATTATATATTATATTTAGCGTAGCTTAACAAACAGTGGAAAAAACATGTTGTTACCTTTGGAGAGCTGGAGGCTAGCCATAATCAGTCTATGTTTTAAAGCTGCAGTAGGACGTTTTTATAAAAATAGCTTTTTGTCAACTTTACTGAAACTTTCACTATATCCTGACAGTAGAACATGAGACGGATAATCTGTGAAAGATTGGTTTCTCTGGCTCCTCCTAGTGCTCCTAATGGTATTTGCAAGAATCCACTGGGCCATGAAACAAAAACAACCAATCAGAGCCAAGAAAGATTGAACAAGCAAGAGGATGATTGTCCATTAATTAGAAGGTTTGATACCCGGCTCCTCCTGCTGCATGTCGAAGTATCCCTAGATACTGAACCCTAAATTGCTCCAGATGCTGTGCATTGGTGTATGAATGTGCGTGAATGAGTATGAGCTTCTATTTGTGATGGCCTTTGCCATCAATATATGAATGTGTGTGAGGGTGAATGCGGCATGTAGAGTAAAGTGCTTTGAGTAGTTGGAAGTGCAGTCCATTTACCATTTACTTGTGGCGTGTCTTGTAGCGGGAGAAATGACCAACCTGAAAAAGGAGAACAAGAGACTAAGAGATGAGATCAGAAATTTAAGAGCAGCACTCGAGTGAGTATATGGTGTTTAATTATTATGTTTTAGGATGAGTCAACTATTAATGAGGATTTTTGTTTTTACTTAAAGTATTTCTCATACTGGTGGTCATTGCCGCAAATGGGAGACCACTATTTAGTTTTTGTATGTGTGGCAAATAATTTGATTTTGATTTTTATAACCAATTTGCAAAAAATTATCACCAAAATATCATCAAAATATATACATATATCACATACACAGTTTGCTGTGTGACCAGTACCTTGACAGTAACCATTTAAAACTGATACACTCAGTCCACCTGAAATCAGTTTCTCACACTGTGAGATACTGTGTTATGTGTGTAGCAGAGGTCACAGCGAGCACTCCTCCAACAGCAGCACCACCACGGGGGTCAAGCCAAACAGCTCCCCTGACCTTTCACCCTCTTCTGGACCCATGGCCCTCGTCACTGCAGCAACCAGCAGGGCCAGCAACAAGCCAGTAGATGGTGATGTTGCAGTAAAAACTGAAGTCGAAACAAGAGCTGAAGGTGAGGATAAAGAAGGGCTGGGAGGAGAAGTGTTTCGGATTGTGTGTTGATTATCTCGCTCTCTTTCTTTTTTCATACAAAAAAATAGCAAGTATAACCTGCATCACAAACACAAGGATGCGTATGCAATTTACAACAGAGACATGCATGAATATATACATACATATACATATATGTCGAATACTATGCCACTGTAATACAAAAACAAATAATTTCTACATCAGTTAAATATGGTATCCTATAGCAGTTAAGGTAGTTAATTATTTACTATTAATTAATTATTAATTTTGATAATCTTGAAAGCCTCAAATTATATGCCCCCTTCTTACATGAGTTCATGTTTTCTGTATCTTCTCAAACAGAAACTGAACACAGACAAAAGAGAGGGATGAACAGAAACCATTATGTAAGTTTCTAAATCTGCAGTTTTTCTTGTGCATGTCAAAGAAATAGTCTTAGACTTTGAGAAATACTCTTAATCCCTTTCTTGCTGAGAGTTTGCTTGACACCACTCTTACATCTGTCCGTTTTATACAGAGATGTAGCCAAGAGACAGTTAGTTTAGCTTTTTTATATAAAGAGGAAACAGCAATTCTAAAGCACACTTATTAAAGGTCCAGTGTGTAACATTTAAGAGGGCCTGTTATATAAGATAAGATAAGATAAGATCATCCTTTATTGATGCCACAACAGGGGACATTTGCATCAATCTTCCCATCTAACTCTCAGACAGGGAGTATTTGTCAGAATGTCAAACTTTTACAAGTGTAGTCATTTCTCTTGCTTTCTGCCCTTCTCCATTCTCACAGGACTCATATAAGCCTCTTTCGACTCTCGCATTACCATCCTGGAAGACAGAACCATGCTGTATTGGAGAGAGAGGGTGAGACAGAGGGACATACAGTAGGAAATTGTGTGTGTTGTGGTCTCTGTAAATCATTTTATAAGGAGT